TAAATGAACTCGAACATAGACAAGCAATGTTGGTCAACAATATCAATTGTGGTAACTAATTTTTTTCAGTAGTTTTTAATATATTTATAACATAATCTTTATAGAAAAAGTTTAACAAAACATTTATTCTCAAATTAACTCCTTTGGAGATGGGAAGAGAGGCAATTGGCCTTATGGTTTAATGTACTGATAGGTAAAGTTATGATTTTACAAATTCTATCAATTAAATGGATTTAGAAAAATAATAATTTTACTATGTTATGTTTAAAAAATGCTCAGTAATCGTTTAGTAATTTGATGATAAATAAGAACAAATTCTGTTTATCAATTTCAGATTGTGTAAATATCACAAAGTATTATATTAGCGTTACGATTGCAAATTTTTAACCTCTTACCTTATTATTTTTTAGCGTCAATGTTACCTAGATTCTAGGTCCTAGAAGACCGTATTTTAGTAATTAGATTTTCTCCTCCCTTCTAAAAATTAATTCCAGCACAAATTTCTAATAAAATATATTTTGATTGAATTAAAATGTTTTGTTTTATTTTTTTCAGTTTATNATTGAATTAAAATGTTTTGTTTTATTTTTTTCAGTTTATGCTAAAGAAACTAATGTACCCAAGGTAGTCGTCAATGTATTAGGTTCTCGAGATCCAAACATCATTCCTCATAAAGAACCTCAACTTAGAATTAAAAATCATTATGGAGTAAGTCAAACATTTTTTTTCGATAATTGTCAAATGAAATTGAATTATTATTGAAAATAGGTCCGGCTTATTGGTGATAATATTGCTGTCAAGCAAAAAAAAAAAAATGAAGCAGTTTTTAAAAAGTGATATCATATTATGAAAATACTGTGTATATTTGAAACTAATTATAATGTTATTTTCGACACTCATTTTAATACTTCTTGAACTTTTAAATATTAAGTACAATTTTTATTCTTCTTTAATTTAATTAATATCTTGTTAAATTTTTTATTTAATTAACTTAATCAATTATTTTCATGTGGATTTTTTCCTATTTGTCTTATTTTGTTTTGTAACTATTGCTATTACTTTAACTAATTTCAAATTAATTTAGAAGGAATTTTATGATATATTTAATCAGTATTAGATATTTTATATTTTATATTTTATATTTATACATATATTTTTTATTTAATGTCTTATACCAGAGATA